TTCCATGGCTGTGTTGTAAAAACTGCACAAGAAAAATCACCTCTGACAACAAATGACATTAAATAAGTGATTTTTATTTAATTACGTTGTTAAGTCACTTTTTATGATCGATACTTTTAACATTTTAGAAAATCAGGTTTTTACTGCCCCCCCCCCCCCCTTTAAAAAGAGACAGGAGATGTTTTGTTTCTTCCTTCACAATAATTTTTGTCAGATTTTTCTTTTTAGAGGAGATCGTTTATTGTTTACAGGTCTATGCTTGTAAAATCTCGACGGAAAACTAAGGTTCAACTAATACTAGAGACATTTTATGCCCCCCCCCCCCCCAAAAAAAAAAGAGAAAGAAATACACAGTTCAAATCAGATTGTTAGTTTGAATGCTCTTTTGTTTCAGAAGTTTTTGTTTATCGTCATTTTGTGATTGAACAATTTGAACAATTCCATGATCATGGTATGTCGAGTCGACATATGAGTGAAAGTAACTGTTGCGAATTAATAATACATGTACGTTGCGGATATCTAAATTTATAAGTCCACAGAAAAACTTTCCTTTGTCCCTTGTATACGAATTTGAAGAAATTCAGAATACAGAAATTATGTCTGCTAATGAGGGGCATTCTGATAACAAACAATCCTATCATTTTCCAGAGAAAGAGATTGGTTGTACTGTTAATGTCTCTCTCGAGAATTTTTCACTCATATGGAGACCCCACCACTTTCCAGTGGAAATAATTGTCCTATACTCTGTACTCAGGGCCATTGAGTGGGTACGAATTTTTTTTTTGTGCCAGCGCCTACTGCGACAGGGGAACTAGGTTTATACGGTCTCATCCGAAAGACCGGTCTTCACGTCCCACAGTGGAATTCGAACCCGCAACGAGAGAGAGAGAGTATATTATTTCACACATAAATTAAATCAAGGAGTTCGTCGAAAATGTTTTCTGTCCTTGTTTTTTTTTTCCAAACGAATTTATTCTTTTTGGAGCAGTTTGAGGAACAGATTCGATTGAATCTTTCTATTAATCTCACACAAATGGCCAGAAGAGCTTTATCAAAGTAATTGTCCTCTTTGACCCTGCATTAAAGATGCATATGATACACATTGCTGCAATATAATTTATAACCATTGAAACTTCAAATTTGGCAGTGCACTTCACTGCACTTTCTTATGTTCTGGAAATGTGCATTTGTCGCGCTTTGTGGTGGAAAGCAAGTTCACAAATCAATCAACTTCTCTCATTCTCTATATATTTTACTTATTAATAGAATTCCAACATCCACCACCTTTTATCAATGTACAGGACTTCCATAGGAAGTAAAATTTTTGAATGTTAGCAAGTCTCCATGATGAATAAATGTCTGTTTTAGGAAAAGAATTAATTATTGGAGAATAATTGACAATGTGTTTTTCCTGATTGATTGTACACTACAATTTTGCTAAAATTAAGACAATTAAAACCTTACCTACATGCGTTTTTGTTTCAACTTTGCATATAAAAATGCATTTCCAGGAGTGAATTCGTTGATTGCAGTGTGACTAGGGTCCATATTTTTTAAATAAAAAAAATATATTTATCAGGATGAAAATTTCCGCACAGGATAATTTTTTTTAATACGTAAAATTTAGAGGGAGGGTAATGGCTGCTTTCTCTTTTAAGCACTTGTTACGTGCACCTGGCGTGACATTTGTTTTGATATTAAAAAGAAATGATATATGGAGCATTGTCATATGTACACTTTTAGATAACACCTGACTTTGTATATAAAATCTAAGAAGTTTCCCTGAAATACACTTTCGGAAACAATGACCAAAATATACGATCCTCGCACATAAATTCTTGACATAATAAATGCGGATCGAGTGACGTGAGACAATTCGTGCAAAAATCATTGAAATAATTCTGAGAGAGAAGAGAGAGAGAGAGAACATTATACTAATAGTATGTACATATACTAAGTATACAATGCATGGCAAAATATTATATACTCCGAAAATACTGAAGGTCAACTTGTCATACATGAACAGGCACGTGGAGCGGAATCGAAAGCTCATAAGAATAGTCCAGTACATAATGCACCTGTCGTACATATGTTATTCTGTTGAGAGGGGTGCAGTGGGTTGTACAAACAGCCTTGAATATGGGTTAATCCCACTGCATGTCTACTTCCTGCTGGCTTATCCCCCTCACGAAATAGGATTTTCGAGTTTGAGCATTTAGTTTTGCTTGGCAAATTTTTTCAGGTAAGTTAATTTTTTCTATGGCTGCCCTTCCCTTTCAAAACGATGCTAGGTCACTGTACAGTTGTGTTATTGTGGTTTGGTTGGTTGATTAAATGATACATTAAATTAATACATGTAGCTTACTTGGAGTAATTAGCCACATGCTAAATATTTCATCAGTTTCAAGTTTTATTTGAATCAATTAATTTAATTTCTATAACCTAATCAAAGTAAAAGTTGCTTATACCCACTCCAAACCATGTAGTACTGAGATACAACACAATGTAGAGATTAATTAATTTCATTTTCATGATAATTTCTCATCTTTTCCTTAAACATGTAGGGTGCATTCGTCTTTGATTAACCGATCGAAGGATTCATAATGTTGCATTATTATTCCAACAGATTTAAAAAAAAAATATCAGTTTGTTTTTTAACTCGTTTTTAGCAAATATTTTAAAGAATGAATAATTAACAGTTCCTCTAAATAGGAAAAACATGCAAATAAGATATACACAGATACCGAAATATCTTTGGAGGAAGTGGTGAATACTGAACGCTTCCTGTTGCCAGGTAACTATAAATAATTATAATGCAGGTTACTTCCCTTCGTTAGCGGTATTTGTACATTTTGACATGTTAACACATGTTGATTATTTCAGACACATCGGAGGCGATTCATTTTTTATTTTTCTTTTTTTTTTTTTTTTGGGGGGGGGGGGGGGGTTCTTGATAAGCAATATAAGAAAGCAAAACAAAACGAACTTTTTCATTTGTTTCAGTATTCTTTCCGGCCAAATTGTAAAGAGGGCTTTTTTCCAACTTTATGATATACTGATAAATTATATTTCTGTGAATTGCCTCCCCGTTTCTTCAAGCTTGTTTTTGATTTTTGGTACATAATGCTGTTTAGTTTGCAATAAACTTACACACCTTTGTATGAAATCAAACGCCTCGGCTTTCTTTGCTTTTTATCATTAATATAGAAAAAATATCAATAAATAGTGACAAAAATAATGTTGAATAAGAGCAGATCGATGTCCATTTTGTTGCTGCCCTAGTCTAAAGATAATATGCGATTTCTCCCCCAAAGTTGTGGTTTAGAAGTAAAAAGAAAATGTTCCTCGAAAATGAAAATGAAGGCGAAGATCGTGATATTCGCTACTTCAAAGGATTTTCACCTTCAGTTTGCTGTAAATCATTATTTTTTTTTTCATACTAAACAGTGGGCTGTAATACTTAAACTTACAACTTATCATTATGTTGTTTAGTATAAGCATTTACTGTATGAAGAAATATTATAATAAATGATGCGTCTTCACACTGCATTTATTTGCAAAATGCGGCAAACATTTAGCCTTCGTTTTCTCGAAAACGTCATAATGCACTTAAGGGTGGTTTTCGCTTGACGGTCATCATATGCTTCCTTAACATACCCGCGTAGTAAATGTAAGGTGCCTACCGGTTTCTCTAATTTGGGAAATACATAAGGTCATTAAGCTTTATAATTAAAAAAAAAATGATTATTGTGTACCGTGCAAGGGAGGTAACTGTCTGTGAACCCCCGCCTGCTCGTACCCGTGATAGATACAGATAGCCTTGAGATGCTGCAAATATGTACAATGCGCAGTCTTAATCACTTGGCACTGCGTATATAAGGTCTTTACTGGTGGCGAACAAGTGACACCGGCAGGGAAGTCCGCACACCAGCGCACATTCACAAGAGACAAGCAGGGATGTCCACACACCAATGCTCTACCACAAGATGCAGGCAGGGATGTCTCCACACCTGATCTTGCGCAGTAACAAGCAGGGATGACCCCACACTTGTTACTATCGGATGCTAATTCCAGAGCAGGGATGACACACACTCTGGCATTCAATAATCAGGGATGACCAGACACTTACTACTTAGAACAGTACAATATAAGCTGGGAATTCTGCCCCCTTATACGTACCTTCACAGGTTTGTCGATTTTGACCTCTAGAACCATTCTTAAACTATTGGCAGTCAAAACCCTATATATCCCAGGTACCATATAAAATATTAAGTGATTATTTATTTACAAAGTAATTGAAACACTAACCAAGCTTCCAATCAACAAATCGTTATCAATCCAACTAAAGATACATACAATGATTATAATTAATTAACTTGAATTGGAACTCATTACTGATTAAGTACTTATTTTTGATGAATATAATAAGTAATTAAAAAAAACATGGGTGATAACTTTCGCTATAATGGAAATATGGGAGAAAAGCTTTTCACTTAAATAGGTATTTAGAGTATTTTGCATAATCTTAAAATGAATTCCATGAATTTCAAATTGCTTTACTAATTACTTCAATTTCTATTGAATCTGAAAAAGAAAAATTAAACTGATTATGACATCATAATGGTTCTAGCACAGGTGAACACATAATGTCATGCGACGTAGGTTCTATGTCATTCCTTATGAAAAGAGTTGTGTTTTTGCGATTACGAAGCTTAACTTCAGCGAAGTGTTCGACAATATTCCTGTCTACCATTGGGAAGTAACTATGATTAAATAAACATGCAGAAATGAGGATGATGTTGTCCATTTCTTCAATAAGCAATATAAAGGGATATAAACAGGAATATAAACCAATGATTTTTCCCCAAAACCCTAGATACTAATAAACATATATTGCATAAGTTAACGGAAACCAGCGAAGTATAAGCGTTTCCTTTCTGGAAACTCATCTCTTAGGAAGACTAACATAACGTCTATAAGTCTGATCTTCCTGGTTTTTGTTTTATTTCATAGCTCACATTACATGACGCCTAACATCTACCAGCAAGTGTTTAACTTGAGCTTTTCCTTACCCCTGTTACCCAGTGAATACAAAGATAGGTATGTTGTTGATGTTTGCTCTTAACTCTTTTATTATAAAAAAATGTATGATTTCTTTAAACGAAATAAAATACTGTTTTTTTTTTCAGATTGTTTAGAAATGACATTTCATAAAGGGGAACTTTCGGTATCCACATTTATACCCTCCAAATGGAATTCGTCTAACATTGATGAAGAGACAGAATTGAACGACAATAGTACATTTTGGTATTCAAGTTTGCTTCCAGTTGACAAAACCCTGAGAAGCTGGAACGAAACAGAAAATGGCTCTGATGATTACTCAAACGATTATGATTTCTTTAAAGATTATACTTTGTCATTCCATTTTTTCGATTCTCAAAATATCTATTCGACATCGGAAGCATTTGAGAAAACAATTGTGGTTCTGACTTTGATCATCGGATTACTTGGTTTTGTAGGAAATATTGTGACCATATGCATGATTTCATTCCATAAAAAATTCCATACACCAACATTTGTTGCCATCGGGTGCCTTTCATTGCCGGATACTTTAAATATCATTGTCATATTTCTGACAAAATTTTCGAATTTATATGATTATGTTGCAATTCAAGACATTGTGTACAAAAAAAGGTTTTGGAATATGACTTTTCTTTTTCTGTGGGAACTCATTAAAAATTCTTCAAATTCTCACATTGTTTACCTCTCCATGATCAGATATTTATTAACAATTCATCCCTTAGAAAGCAAGATTCGACTTACAGCGTCAATTGTTTTGGCATGTTCTGTAATGATCTGGATTTATTCTTCACTGTTTTTAGCTTTCATATTAATCTTTATATTAAGGTATTTTAATAATTATACAAAGAAGTACACAGTCCTTCGGTATACATTTGATATCATTCATGTTCTCTGGGGTTTGTTTTCTCTCTGTGCAATCATTATTATGCATATAAAAAAGATGAAAGTTCTAAAAAACTCTGCCGTGAAAAACTGTGTCCATAGAAGAATGAATGTTATCATTTTCATCATTTTATCAGTTTTTGTTTGTTTTCAAATATCAAGCATATTTTATTACCTTTCTTTTTTAATTAATATTTCTCCGACCTATAGATACAATATCTACGTAATTTTTGGAATTATGAATTACTCTTGTAATCCTTATATACTTTTTTTTTCTTCTCTGATTGTTTAAAAAAAAAAGGTTATCAAAATCTAAATAGAAGTAAACAGTGGAATGGATAACTTTAATTGGATTGTTAAAATTATCTATCAACCTGGATTATGATTTTGCATGGAATTCGAATACATAATTTTTCACACCGGATGTAAATACACGAACCCCAAATATATAAACTTTTTAACGTACTACTAGAAATTTTAACAAATTTTCCATCGTTAATATATTAATTATTCATGTATTTTTTTCATATCAGTAGCTTGGTCAATGAAAATGATTTTGTTTTTCTTTTCTTTTTTTTCCTTTTTTTATTTTGTTTTCCATTTCCCATTACTGTAAAGAAATCCTTTCTTTTCATAATATAAATTTCGACATGTTACGATACTCTAAAATTATTAATAAAAATTACATCAGCTGTACAATGTAAATGTTATTTTTGTTATGTGTGACTTCACTCGTAACCTTTTTGGAAGTTCTCGAATGTCGCAGCGAGAGCTGAGGAACAGTTGCACGCAATCGTCTGCTAAGATGCAGATTCAGCAGATTTGAGACTAGAGTTTTGGATGGTACTGATTATAATCTTAGAAGTGCACATATATTATCAAACCTAATTTATTCTAGAGGACTTAAAAAGCTAAACAGCTGAGAAAATTCTGTTGGTATCGTGTAATTATATGATTGTTAACTATCTGTGATTATCATTTTTGTTTTTTATCATTTAGATTTGTTAAAGGTTAATTCATTTTTGGTAGGTGTGTTTTTGTAAGTGTGTCACAGCGGGCTATAAATAGATTTGGGTAGGCGGCGCACGATACAAATTAAGGACTCGTCCGGGATAATAGAACTTTTGGCGTTATTGTGGTTATCCGTAACAAAAACAAGATGTGTTTGTGAAAAATGATGCCCCCGTATTGCAACAAAACAAAGATTTAACTTTTCCTAAATGCGTATTTAATATATTGGTACCTAAAGTAGGGCATTCTCACTGGAAATATAATTGTGAAATACGAAAGTAGGCCAAGTGCGGAAATCTTCAAGGTCAAGGTAATGATATCCAATGAAAGGTTTTGCCACAAACAAATACATATGTAAAGTATGAAAGTTCTAGCCCAAAACGTTCAGAAGTTATGGCGAAAGTTTAAAATTTTTAAACAGTATGTACCTTTATCGTTCAAACGTTATGACCAAGATTAAATTTTTATAATATTTTCATAATGCAAAAATCCCAAAGGTTAATGTCAAAAGGTCAAAGGTCTTGCTTTCAAATGAAAAGTTTAGTGACAGGGATTAAATATGTAAATATGAAAGCACTAGCCCCTACCCTTTAAAAGTAATGGTCAGGGTTTGCTTTTAAAAGTAGGTCAAACTCCAAGGTCAAAGGGTCAAAGTTCTTGGTGTCCATTGAAGGGTCTTCTCACATGGATTACTTAAGTGAAGTATGAGATCACTAGCCCTTATCGTTCAAATGTTATGCCAAGGTTAATTTAAGTTTTTACATAAGTACCAAAATCTCGAAGGTCAAGGTGAAAAGATCAAATAATTGGTATCCAAAGAAAGGTCCTGCCAAATACAACAAATATATTAAGTATGGAAGTCCTAGCCCTAACCGTTCAGAAGTTATGGCCAGGGTTAAACAAATTTAAAAGTAGGTCAAACTCCAACGTCAAGGTCAAAGGTTCAAAGTTCTTGATATCAAATGAAAGGTCCTGTCACAGGGATAAAAAATATGAAATATAAACGCCCTAGCCCTAACCCTTAAAAAATTATGATCAATATTGTTTTTAAAAAGTAGGTCAGACTCCAAGGTCAAGGTCAAAGGATCAAAGTTCTTGGTATCCAATAAAGGGTCTTTTCACAGGGATTCCATATTTGAAGTATGAAAGCTCTTTCCCTTATCGTTCAAAAATTATGGCAAACGTTAAAGTTTTTTCATAAGTACGGAAATCTCCAAGGTCAAGAGGTCAAGAGTGTTAGTATCCAATGAAAGATGAAAGATTACTATCCAATGAAAGATCTTACAACAAAAAATACATATTTGAAGTATAATTGTCCTGGTATCTACTATTCAAAAGATATGTTCAAAATAAAAGTTTAAAATTTTTGTGTAAAAGTGAGTACCAAGGTCAAGGTCAAAAGGTCAAATCTGGTTGTACCCAAAGAAAGATCTTGCCACAAAGAAAACACATGTGAAATATGAAAGTCATAGCTCATAAAGTTATGGGCAAGGTTAACATGTTTGCGGACAAACAGACAGAGAGACAGATCGACAGACAGAGAGACAGACTGACAGACAGAGAGAAACGGACACGACAAAAACTATATACCCCCGAAATTTTGTTAACGGGGGCACAAAAATATTAGAGTTAACTGTAGTTAACTCTAATAATAACTTTGACACTTTGAAAACTTTGGTTTACTATAGTTGACACTTTTAAAAACTTTGGCAAAAATTGATACTTTGAAAAACTTTATCCAGAATTGACAATGTTCGAATCTCAACTTTCCAATATAGCATACTTCCATGTATATTCAATAAGTATGCATTTCCTCCGTTCATGTAAACCATTCTGAACCTCATAAGCCCTCCATCTTATACATATTCATACATGACACAGAAATAATGAGTTATGTTGCACTCTGCAACCACTGTGACTTTATTAATTAACCTAATTTTTATTATACAAAATGATAAAATGATGTAAATCACATTAAATTGTTATATAATCATAACCTAATTTAAATTTGATAATTATGAATATTTGATTATTTACCCAATAATATTTTAATCAATATCAATTAATAATTCCAATTAATTTTCCAATTAATGATGTAAACCATTACATAAGTTTAAACCAACCTATACCTTGTGGTCTGAAACCGCCATGTACTTGATTAAACCCCATTAATCAAGTTCAGACCCCAAGGAGAAAAAAAAAACGTAATAAAAATCTGACAATCCCACACCCGTAATAAAAATCTGAGTAAGTGGCAAAGTGCAGATACACCTAATAAGGCCAATCTTTGCAGAGAAAGACATATGCTTTGAAAACCTTAGCCTTACTTAAAAAAAAATTGCAAGTAGAACTCATGATAGGTGAGAATACATATATGCCTCTGCTAATACATACATGCGTGCATCAAAGTTATCTATATTTAAAAGAAGTTTAAATAAAGCCAGCTAAACACTATGATAGGTAGGAATAAACATATGTCCCACCTCAATGTTATCAGGAAATATGCATATGTTCCTTAACAATTGGATTTTGCATTAATTACATAAATGAGTTTAAAATAGATACCGTCACGATTGATTGAACTTAACGGGAAGAAACATATGTCCCGGTTTGTTGTAATATGTTATCAGGAAATAAACATATGTTCCTGAACCCCCATCTATCAATCACTAATAAATGTCACTCCAAAAAACAATTCCTCCAAAGCAAGAGTTATGAGACACCGTTCAACTCTAAAGAAAAATACTGAAAACGAAATCAGGCTTAGTGACGATGTGACAATGCTCAACGGTAAGCTGATTAATGAACTTTTGGAAAACGAACATGTTAAAGCAGCTTGGTATTTTAATGGCCATGTGTACGGACAAATCGGCGACGAAAGGGTCATGTTCGATATTTTTGACGATATTGAGGAGAAAATCGCCAACCTGAATTAATGTTTCCATTCCGGAAATCTTATTTCCGATCTTAAATACTGTTTTGTTTTAGAATCTATGGCTTACTACATAACTTCCGGTTTACACTCGGACATGCTCGACATAGATTAAAGATCATTTGGACACTTGCCTGTAGTTAGAAAAAGCAAGAACTCGTTGTCATTACACTATTTTGTTTTTTATGTTCTGTTTCTTTCAGTCTTCTCTCTGTACTATCTTGTACTTCTTAACTATCCCTTTTTTCTCTGTATATGCATGCATTCATGAACATACCTATTTCAGATCACATTCCAGCAGGTCTCAAAAACTTCCGTCTGTAAATCTTTATGGGGATTAAATTCTTATCTGTTAATTGTCAAGGTTTAGGCGATATCACTAAACGCAAAGATGTTTTTAACTACCTAAGGAGTCTAGATTATAATATTTATTGTCTTCAAGATACTCACTTCACAAATAATGTAGAAAATGATGTTAGAAATATGTGGGGATTCCAATGTTACTTTAGCTCCTATACTTCAAACTCAAGAGGGGTAGCAATACTTTTTAATAATAATTTTGACTTTAAAGTTTGTCTCGAAAAGAGTGATAAAGATGGAAATTATCATATTTTGAAATCATGTATAGAGGGTCATGAGGTTGTTTTTTGCACAGTATATGGTCCAAATACTGATACACCAAATTTTTTTGAAAATATTCAAGAGTCAATTGAAGAAATGAACTGTAATAATGTCATATGGTGTGGAGACTTTAACTTAGTATTAAATCCACAGTTAGACTGCTATAATTACAAATCAATTAATAATCCGAAGGCTAGAGAAAAAGTATTAGAAATCATGGAAGGAATTGGTTATGTAGATCCTTTTAGACAGCTTCATGAAACACTTCGAAGGTACACATGGAGAAAAAAAAATCCTTTCAAACAAAGTAGGTTAGATTTTTTTATAATATCTGAGTCATTGCTACCTTGTCTTAATGCATGTACAGTTGAACCAAGTTACAGGTCTGATCACTCTATGATATCTATGGTTTTAACTTTTAATGACTTTAAAAAGGGAAGGGGTCTTTGGAAATTTAACAACTCCCTTCTTAGTGATAAGCAATACTTAGAATGTATCAGAGATGTTATCTCAAAGGTAAAAAAGCAATACGCACCTCCTGTTTATGATTATGATAATCTTGATACTATTCTAGATGAAAACATCTATTTCACCATTGACAATCAATTATTTCTAGAAACTCTACTTATGGAAATAAGAGGGAAAAGCATATCATACTCTGCATATCTAAAAAAGAAACAAGTTAATGAAGAGAAAGCATTACTCGAAGAAATAAAGACATTAGAAGA